TTCATTATATATCGGATCTATCTTACAGTATCCACCGTATTTCATTATATATCGGATCTATCTTACAGTATCCACCGTATTTCAGTATATGTCGGATCTATCTTACAGTATCCACCGTATTTCAGTATATATCGGATCTATCTTACAGTATCTACCGTATTCCAGTATATATCGGATCTATCTTACAGTATCCACCGTATTTCATTATATATCGGATCTATCTTACAGTATCCACCGTATTTCAGTGTATATCGGATCTATCTTACAGTATCCACCATATTTCAGTATATATCGTATCTATCTTACAGTATCCACCGTATTACAGTATATATCGGATATATCTTACAGTATCTACCGTATTCCAGTATATATCGGATATATCTTACAGTATTCACCGTATTTCATTATATATCGGATCTATCTTACAGTATCCACCGTATTTCAGTATATATCGGATCTATCTTACAGTATCCACCGTATTTCAGTATATATCGGATCTATCTTACAGTATCTACCGCATTCCAGTATATATCGGATCTATCTTACAGTATCTAACGCATTCCAGTATATATCGGATCTATCTTACAGTATCTACCGCATTTCAGTATATATCGGATCTATCGTACAGTATCTACCGTATTCCAGTATATATCGGATCTATCGTACAGTATCCACCGTATTCCAGTATATATCGGATATATCTTCCTGTATCCATCGTATTCCAGTATATATCGGATATATCTTACAGTATCTACCACATTCCAGTATATATCGGATATATCTTCCTGTATCCATCGTATTCCAGTATATATCGGATATATCTTACAGTATCTACCGCATTCCAGTATATATCGGATATATCTTCCTGTATCCATCGTATTCCAGTATATATCGGATATATCTTACAGTATCTACCGCATTCCAGTATATATCGGATCTATCGTACAGTATCCACCGTATTCCAGTATATATCGGATATATCTTCCTGTATCCATCGTATTCCAGTATATATCGGATATATCTTACAGTATCTACCGTATTCCAGTATATATCGGATCTATCGTATAGTATCTACCGTGTTCCAGTATATATCGGACATATCTTACAGTATCCACCGTATTCCAGTATATATCGGATATATCTTACAGTATCCACCGTATTCCAGTATATAACGGATCTATTGTACAGTATCTACCGTATTCCAGTACATATCGGATATATCTTACAGTATCCACCGTATTCCAGTATATATCGGATCTATCGTACTGTAACCACCGTATTCCAGTATATATCGGATATATCTTACAGTATCCACCGTATTCCAGTATATATCGGATATATCTTCCTGTATCCATTGTATTCCAGTATATATCGGATATATCTTACAGTATCCACCGTATTCCAGTATATATCGGATCTATCGTACAATATCCACCGTATTTCAGTATATATCGGATATATCTTCCTGTATCCATCGTATTCCAGTATATATCGGATATATTTTACAGTATCCA